TCATCACCAGAGCGCAAATACTTTCGTCTCAAAGACCACAATATAGTCGTGCCGCCTCGATCATGTATACTCGTTTCAGTAGCATGTGACATACCGTTTGACGGTGAAGGAGTCACCGACCAACTAACCTCGCTGCTTTTCACTCACGGGATTTAGTAGCACAAGGAATAGAATAGAAAAATAAAGTTTTTTCATTCAAATAAAGTTTTTTCATTCAAATAAAGTTTTTTCATTCAAATAAAGTTTTTTTCATTCAAATAAAGTTTTTTCATTCAAATAAAGTTTTTTCATTCCATTCCATTCCAAGGAATAGTCAATATCACCGACAGCCGAACGCACTTGCTCTTCACCAATTTCACCTCCGGGGGATGGCACCTTACAAGAGGCACAACTTTGGCATACTTCGACGGGATAGCAGATGTTTCTGACTGCTTTTCAGCACTCGAAGTAACGCCTACACAAGACCAACATGACCTAGCACCTAACCTTGACGTCAGGTTGCCCCGCCGCGGTGGTCTAGTGGCTAAGGTACTCGGCTGCTGACCCGCAGGTCGCGGGTTCGATTCCCGGCTGCGGCGGCTGCATTTCCGATGGAGGCGGAAATGTTGTAGGCCCGTGTGCTCAGATTTGGGTGCACGTTAAAGAACCCCAGGTGGTCTAAACTTCCGGAGCCCTCCACTACGGCGTCTCTCATAATCATATGGTGGTTTTGGGACGTTAAACCCCACAAATCAATCAATCAATCAATAACCTTGACGTCAGCCCTACATAACTCAGCGACAGTGGGAACGCCTTCTTGGGCTGCTAGCCGAGTTTCATGACTGTTTGGCGTCGACCTCAAAAGTTGACCGGACGTCCTTGATCAAGCACCGAATCATCACAGAGGACACGGCTAGACTAATCTATCCAAAACCGTACCGTGTGGCTTCAAAAGAACGAGAAGCGATAGAGCAGCACGTAACAAAAATGCTTGAAGACGACATGATTCAACCGTCGAAAAACCCTTGGGCGTCACCTGTTCTTCTAGTCAAGAAGAAGAATGGCAGCCTGCGTTTTTTTGTGGACTATGGAAAGCTAAGTCAGGTTACAAAAAAAGACATGTACCCGCTTTCCCGCATAGATTATTCAATCGACAATCTTCGAAACGCACGTTACTTCTCTTCCATGTACCTAAAGAGTGAATATTGGTACATTAAAGTCGACCCCAGGAATCGTGAAAAAAACCGCTTTCGCGACGCTGGACGGACTGTACGAATTTAAGGTTTTACCATTCCGTTTGTGCTCCGTGCCTGCTATTTTCCAGCGTCTCACGGATACCATGCTCTCTGGGCTTAAATGGAGAACCTGCCTAGTATACCTTGACGACGTCATTGTGTTTTCTACAACGTTTGACAAACACCTTGAACAATCGCATGTGGTCTTGCAGGCCATGCGGGCCGCAGGTCTGACGCTCAAGCCAGAGAAGTGTCACTTCTGCTTTGAGGAACTACAGTTTCTTAGCCACGTCGTCAGTTACGCAGGACTTCGTCCTGATCCCGAGAAAGTTGCTGCCGTCGCACACTTTCCAACACCATCAGATAAAAAGGCAGTCAGGGGTTTTCTGGGTCTCTGTGCATATTATCGGCGGTTTATTCCAGAGTTTGCACGCATGGCGTCGCCTTTAACTCGTCTCACGAGGGATGACGTTAAATTTGTTTGGAGTGACGAACAGGAAGTGCTTTCAATGACTTGCGGCAACGTCTACACAGAATCCTCGTGCTTGCCGATTTTTATGATACATCCCCTACAGTCCTCCGTACTGACGCCAGCAATGTTGGCCTCGGAGCTGTGCCAGTGCAGCGCCAGGACGACGAGGAAAACGTGATCGCTTACGCAAGCAGAACTTTGTTACGAACAGAAGCAAATTACTCGACCACTGAAAAGGAACGCCTCGCCATGGTGTGGGCCGGTATGAAATTTCGCCCATACTTGTACGGTCGCCCATTCAAGGTTGTCAGTGACCACCATTCGTTGTGTTGGTTAACAAGTATGAAAGATCCCTCCGGGCGATTGGCACGCTGGAGCCCTAAACTACAGGAATTTAATATAGCGATGGTGTATAAGTCGGGAAAACGACACACGGACGTCGACTGCCTCTCTCGATCACCAATAGATTCGGCTGCTTTCTTTGACTAGGAGACAGCGTTCCTCGGAATCCTCGACACGTCAACCATCGCAGATCACCAGCTTGACGATCCTGAGCTATTGTATTGATTAATTATTTCGAAGGACGAAGCTAGAATGCGCCCAAAGCCTTCGAAAGGGAACTATTGTTGTTCTGGCTGTGAAACAATGTCCTTTACAAAATGAACTTCTTGTCAGACGGGTCCACCCACCTGTTTGTCGTCCCTACCACTCCTCGTTCTGAGGTATTACAAGCGTGCCACAATGAGGTCCCATCTGGACATTTAGGCTACACACGCACACTGGGCCAAGTTAGAGGGAGGTAATACTGGCCTAGGCTCGCCACTGCCGTGAAGCATCATTTTCGAACCTGTCTCGATTGCCAGCGACGCAAGTTACCTCCGACGAAACCAGCCGGTTTGCAACACCCTGTCCAGATCCTGACAACGCCATTTGACCAGATCGGAATGGACCTTTCGGGCCCACTTCCTACCTCTAGTGCTGGTAACCGCTGGGTTACAGTGGCGACCGACTACTTTGCTACGCCGAGACAAAAGCCATCTAGAGAGGCACAGCTGAGGATTTAGCCGAACTTTTTTATTTGTTTTATTTATTTATTTATCATACTGTTGACCCTCACTTGAGGATCGTTAGAAAGAGGGTGAAGAATTGAGTTGCACAAAATCAAAAGTTTGAAAAATCGTAAGATGAACTGTGTAACATATAGCATAATTATATGAGAAACATAGTGACATGCTTTTTCATTCAATATACTTACAACATGACCTCTATGGCCAATAAAACATTTCTATGAAAACACATACATGAACACTGCAAACTATACATCCTCAACAAAATGCTTATCAAGAGCAACCTCAAAATCACTCCAAGTTCTTATTTGCGCCATATCGTTCGGTAATTCATTCCACATATTATTAGCATCGGGAAAGAAGAAAAATTGGAAGATATCTGTTCGAGCATGTATTTGTTGTATGAATGTAGCGCATGTTGTTCTTGGAAACCTTTTGTAGGAATGCTTCAAATATTCATCCCTGTTTATTTTCACCCCGGCACGCAGGATCTGAAAAAGAAGTTTCAACCTTTGTTTCCGCCTTCTGAATTCTAGTGATTCTTATTTACATTCTTTTAACATTTCAGTAACAGAATCCTTTCTTCGATATTTGGAGCAGATAAAGCGAGCTGACATTCTCTGAATGCGTTCTATTTTATTTTTAACACCTTTTGGTGTGGGCTTCACCCAGCGCTAGCGTATTCCAATCACGGACGCACATACGTTTTGTAGGCAAGCAGCTTAACATCTTTTGTGGCTCGGCCTAACTTCCTTCGTAGGAAGCACAATTGTTGACATGCTGATTGACATATGTTATCGACATGAGGACGGCAGCTCAACTTATCTGTTATAGTTACACCCAAGTATTTAAAATTACAGACTTTCACCAGCATATTATCACCAATGTTATATGCAAACGAAAGCACTTCCTTTTTTTGTAATGTGTGTGTAAGTAGATTTTTTAATGTTAATTTCCATACCCCATTTAGAACACCATCAGTTTAGGACACCATAAGTTTAGAACACCATAGGTTTTTAAGCACTGATTGATATTCACTTGATCTTTGCTGCATGATACCCGACAATAGATTAGGCAGTCATCTGCAAATAGCTTAATTTTTACTGGTGGTTGGACAACCGATAATATATCATCTATGTATAAAAGAAAGAGTAGGGGCCACCATACAGATCCTTGAGGCACACCCGAATACACCTCCCGATTTCCCGACATAGCATCTCCTACTCTAACTGCTTGGTGTCGATTGCTTAGATAAGCTCTGATCCAACTGAGAACATTCTCACTAATACCAATATTGCGAAGCTTGAATAGCAGCTTACGGTGTGAAACTCTGTCGAACGCCTTTGAAAAATTGATACATATAACATCGATTTGCATACAGACATCTACAGCTATACACAAGTCATGTAGAGTTTCAACTGTTGTTTTAACTTGTGTGACTGTTGAAAGGCCACCTTGAAATCCATGCTGAAAGGGGCATAATAATTCATTTTGTTCTAAAAATTGCCGAATAATTTTTGCCACTATATGTTCAAATAATTTACAACATACCGACGTGAGTGAGACAGGCCTATAATCGTTTAATGTCGTTCTATCACTATTTTTGAAAATTGGGACATTTGCTCTACGCCAATCTTGAGGTAACGAGTGGCATTTTAAAGATTTCTCGAAAATAATCACTAGGTAGTATGACAGCCACTCTGCAAATCGTCGCAAAAATTGATTCGATACACCGTCAGGTCCACATGACGTTTTGTTATTTAAAAGAAGTAGTTGATTGAATATACCTTCTTGGTTAATATTTATATCATCTTCCTGAAGTGTCACTGTAGTACCCAATTCAATTTCCTCGTTTTCACCTTGACCCTTACAGAAAACCGACTTAAAAAATTGATTGAGTCTTTCAGCTATATCTGAATTTTCTGTGACTACTTCTTTTCCATCTACAATAAGATCAATTCCTTCATTCGCTTCCTTAAAAACAGCCGAAACTTACGTGGTGAGTTCGTTAGAAAGTTAGTGAGTGTGTTATTGAAAAAATGTTTCTTCGATTGCGCTCTCTGCTTTCAAGTTTTTTTTTAACACATGATATTTAGGTCGAGGCCCTATGAGTTCTGCGCAGTCTTTTTAGTTTACGCTTCCTGTGAATTATTTTCCTATTTATTCTTGGATTTCTTCGTTTTGTCTTTTTAACGTGGGTATGAAGTTGTCTGAACAGTAACCTAAAATTTTCTTAAACGTTTCCAGATCTGTTCAATGGACTCAAGTTTTGATGCCTCCTGAAATTTGCCAAGCGACATTTCTAAATAATCCAGGATTGCTGTATCATCAGCACGATCGTAATCTTTGATATGTTGATACACATGACGCTTTGCTCGAAAGCCGGTATGAAAATATACGTCAACCGCAACCATTCTGTGGTCTGATATGCCGTCTTCAACTGATACGGCATAATCAGTCAGTCTACTCGATATGAAAACCAAGTCAAACAATGACTGTGACGGAGGGGTAACTCGTACATAATCTTTTAGGATTGTGTGAGGTTATGAGAAAACATCAGCTCCAATAACCTATCAGCACTACGGGTTTCCGCATGACCAGTTGTAAAGCTTACCCAATTTATATGCGCTAAATTAAAGTCGCCAGCCACTATCAGCCCCGTTTTTCATTTACATGACCACACAAAAACGTATTATTTCTTCTAAAAACTCGGGTGGACTTCCGGGTGGTCTGTAGACGGCTGCAATGAGATGCGTATAATTAGTGTAATCCACCTTGCGCCACACTGTTTCTGGCAACTGGCAATGTACTATTGTTGCCGCTACGTTGTTTTTAATTATCACTGCCACACCACCACCCCGGGTGTCCCTGTCCCACCGGAAAATCTTGTATCCTGGCGGTAGGATGCAGTTATCTGTTATAGCATTATTCAACCATGTCTCCTTTAAGACAACAACATGGGGGCTCTATGTAATCAAAAAGATTTTTAGGTCTGGTACTTTATTTACAATGCTTTGCGCATTCAGTGAAAGAATTTTTAGCTAGGAAGGCACCGTCTCAGATGATTTTATGCCACTTTCATCAGTTAGCTTTGACACATTCGAGCTGCTATGAGCGGAAGTTGCAGAGCTGTGGTTACGTTCCTTGTTATCTTTTTGTTGCTAGCATTGAGTACAAATATTTCGTGTCGTATCCCACTGATAAAGCTCGCCGTTCACTTTAAGGTTGTCATTAATCAACTTCACTTTTGTTCCCTTTGCCCTTTCGGTTTCGCAGCTTTGCCATAACTTTTTTCCTAGCGTTGACAGTTTCTTTTGCGTAATCATTGCTTGTACCAATAGTAGCCCCTTCAATTTTTTGCAGTTTTTTAGCACACTCTTTTTCGCGGTACTTATAAAAATTAATGATGACCAGTCTTGATCTATTTAGATTTTGCTTGCCGAGCCTGTGGATTAGGTCAACTAATTTTACTTTAACCAATTTTGCGTCAAAACGTTTATAAACAACAGTTTCCGTCAGGTCTAACTCAGTTTCACCAGAATCTTCCGGTAGGCCGAAAACGAGTAGATTATTACGTCTACTTCTGTTTTCGTAATCAATTAACTTCTGTTCTTGTTGCCTAACTATAATTTCCAGCCTGCTAATTCGCTCGCTCATTTCTTCAATAACTTGAAAATATTCCGTCAACTTTTCAGTTTTAATATTTATGTCGAATATTTCTTCCCTCATAGCATCTATCTTGGTTTCGGATGCTACTTGTTTTTCCAAGATTTGCTCCAACATCTCAGCAGTCCTTGACTCCGGGCTTTCCTCAACATCACCAGAGTTTAAAAGCATCAACACCACAGACCAGCAATCAATGACACGAGCAATACAAATGTGACGGCACGGCAATACTGACAAAAATCGATTCTCACAACTATGACAAGCTGTATTAAAGAGGTAACGAACCTGCATAAACAGCAATGCCGACTTAGACGTGTTGCCTGCAGGCCATGTGCCGTGCCCTCTGAGGGTTCCTTGGTTGGGCTGCTCCTTTTCTTGCCGAGGTGTTGATGACGTCAGTGATGATAGACGAGCCATCCAGGTGCTGCTTTCAGAGTCCTGATAAGTTTCGTCGAAAAGCAGCCAATTTTCGCCACCAGATGACACCGATGAAGGTCGATCCACCCACTTGTTCCTCACAGTTCTCTGATGAGACTCCTGGGAAGGTAGCCAGAATGTGCCGCTCGAAGTTGTCGCTCCCACAATCCACAAAAGTGCCTGCATAAACAGCAATGCCGACTGAGACATGTTGCCTGCAGGCCATGTGCTGCGCCCTCTCAATTTTTCATAGAGAACATTGTGCTCAGACATGGTGCGCCGTCGATCATTATAACAGATCGCAGAACCACATTCACGGCCACACTTTTAGATCGTGTGTTGCTCCTCAGCGGTACTATTCATCGCAAGTAGACAATTACTATCCACAAATAAATAGGTTGACCGAGTGGCTCAACAAAACTCTCGAAGACATGCTTTCAATGTATGTGGCCATCGAACACAATCACTGGGACGAGATTCTCCCGTGCATAACGTTTGCATACAATACTGCTAAGCAAGAAACCACACGGATGACCCCATTCAGCCTTGTTCACGGACGCCAGGCAGCTCGCACGTCTGCAAATATACCAACAGCAAGAGTAGGACGCAAGTCGCTATAACCTACGTCATACACCTGTAACGTACGAAACCGGGGACAGGGTATGCGTGGACCCCTGTACAAAGACGGGGAATATTCGAAAGTTGCTCATATAATACTTCGGACCTTACCTAGTGCTGTGACGACTAAGTGACGTTACGTACGAAGTCGTCCCGTGTAGCCCAAACTGTAAAAGGCGTCGCCAGCACTGACCTGAACTTGTGCACGTAGTGCGCACTAAGCCATACATTAGCGAGTGACTCTGCGAAGCACCGTCGCTTGTACAAAGTGACTTTATGCGTGAATGACTGCCTCAGCTATAGCATCGAGGCGATTTAAGGGGAGGCAAATGCCGCGCTCGAAATAGAGAGAGAACAAAGACGATGTGTGCGCTAGCAGTCTCATGAAATGGTACACTGAAGAAGACGACGTGCTTTTGTTTATATGTCTCTTGCTCTTGCAGGGACGCTAGGGGGTGCCAATTCGTGCGGTCGTCTAAACATCGGCTCTTGCTTGTTCACGTTTTTTTCTGTGAAAGTTACCTATTTGTTTGATGCCTTTTTCTCCAGTCGACGCCTGAAGTCTTGAGGACGACGTGGAAACAATTTTGTCACGGTGGGTGGATCTTTTACCAAGTTTTGAAGGACTTTCTTGCTTGATCACGCTGTGGGTTGCAAGGCCTAAGGTTAGGCTTAGCTAAGCTTAACGCTAGGCTTTACTAAAGTGCTTATTTGGGCCGGTTGGTACATGGTCAACGAAGTGAAAAAACAGCGCGTAACACAGGACACAGGACAGAGAAGTGTGCTGGCAGTATGCCCCCCGCTCCAAAAAAAGTTTGCTACCCTACAGTTCTGCGCATTCAAAACTTGTAAAGCGAGCGATTGCAAAATCCTGTCTAAAGGCGGCCCTGATGCGGTCTTGCCATCACACATTGTGTACTAGTTTTGAGTCACAGGTGCGCAGATTGCGCAAGGCAGGGTACCCGGATAACATACTGTGTTCCATAGCTGAAAGTATCTTAAAAGACATCAAACAGCTAACCGAACCGACTAGTGGTCAAGAAAAAAGTTCTTTTTCAAGAACAGCAGTCATTCCTTACTTGCATAAGGTGTCACATTGTTTAAAAAAGGTAGCACAAAAAGCTGGAATCAGAGTTGTTTTTTCAGCCAGAAATAAGTTCTCTAGTATGTGCCATCAGGTGAACAGAGAGGACAGAGGGCCACGCGTGTGTGATAAAAAACACGCAATCAAGTTTGTTGAATGTTGTTTTTGTGCCATTTATGAAATTCCCCTCTCTTGCGGCCGCTGTTACATCGGGCATTCTGGCCGCTGTATAAATGACCGCCTCAGGGAACACCGCAATCTAATGCGGGGTTCTGTTGGCAGCCACTTAGCTGCGCACAGCTCCATTTGTGGATGCCGTGCATTGTTTGACAAATGCAAGATACTTCGACGCTACAGAGATAAAAGGACACGTGAGATTTATGAGGCATTCTGCATAATCAAGAAAGGCGATATGTGTGTCAGTGCACCTTCGATAACGCTCCTCACCAGGGAATTGGCGTATTTGACAAGCGAATGATTGCGCAATCACAGTTTATTTGTTATACGCATACAATCATAACAAAAATTACTCTTTCATGTCACTCGACTTCTCTCCCTCTTTTTTCAAGTTTCGTGTGCTATATATACACCCCTGTACGAAATAAATTTTTGGTTGTAAGTCAGCGCCTCGTCCGTCTCTTCTCTGTCCTGTGTCCTGTGTTACGCGCTGTTTTTTCACTTCGTTGAACGCTAGGCTTACTGCGTTTGAGCTATCAAGATGGCTATGCAAGTCACTTTGCAAAGGGAGGACATTTCTCCCGAAGAGTTCCAGTGTTCTGGATGGACAAAGGCGCTTTCTAAGCGTAAGTCAACTAAAGCACCCATGGCGGGCGCTGAATTTCAAGGCCGACCATACGGCAAGAACGCTGGCACCCAATCTCCCGCCAACTTGAAGAAACGCCTCGCCAACGCGTCAAGGCTGCCTCATCTACCAAGGGAGCATTTTCGAATCATTATTAGGCCTCGGAGAGGCTTGAACGTTCAGAATACCAGTAACGTCTAGATCTCTCAAGCACTCACGACAGTGGCGCGTCTCTCTCCTGCGGATATCACAGAAGACATCATTTGTCCTAACGCTATGCAGAACATTGTTGTGATTAGTGTGCCATCGCAAGCCAATGCCAAGGCCTATGCAAGTCTAGAGGCCATCACCGTGAATAACGCAGGATACGACTTTAGCTATTACATTGCTACGCCCGACAACACATGCAAGGGTATCATCAGAAACATCGATATGGAAATTGACGATGAAGAGCTCAGAAGACTTCTTATTCAGCCGAGGAATCTCACCGTCCTCGAAGTGCGGCGAATCAACAATTCTACCACAGTCGTTATCCTCTTCGAAGGACTCCGATTCCCAACTTACGTCATGTGTGGTTCCAGCATAGTCAAGTGTACCCTCTACTGACGGCAGACGGGTGCCTGCAATACCTGTGGTAGACTCGGCTACAGAGCTGACGTGTTCCCCACTTCAGGAAATGTTATCTGTCGAGGTTGCGGAATGACCTCTCCTGGCGACCAGCACGTTTGCTGACCGAAGTGCGCC